ACGTGATGAATCATATTTATTGATTTGCATATGCTGAACCAACCTTGTATCCCAGGGATAAAGCCTACTTGATTGTGGTGGATTAGGTTTTTGATGTGCTGCTGAGTTCAGTTTACTGGTATTTTGTTGAGAATTTTTACATCTATATTCATCAAGGATATTGGCCTGAAGTTTTCATTTTTGTGGTGTCTCTGCCAGGTTTTGGTATCAGGATGATGCTGGCCTCATTGAATGAGTTAGGGAGGAGTCCCTCCTCCTCAATTTTTTGGAATAGTTTCAGTATGAATGGTACCAGCTCTTAGTACATCTGGCAGAATTTGGCTGTGATTCTGTCTGGTCCTGTGCTTTTTCTTGTTGTTGGATTATTACTGACTCAATTCTGGAACTCCTTATTGGTCTGGTCAGGGATTCAATTTCTTCCTGGTTCAATCTTGGGAGGTTGTATTTTCAGGAATTTATCCATTTCTTCTAGGTTTTGCAACTTGTGTGCATAGGAGTATTCACAGTAGTCTCTGAGGGTTTTTTGTATTTCTGTGGGGTTAGTGGTTACCCTTTGTCATTGCTGATTGTGTTTATTTGGATCTTCTCTTTTTTCATTAGTCTAGCTATGTGGTCTATCTATCTCATTTATTCTTTCAAAGAACCAATTCTTGGATTCGCTGATCTTTTGTATGGCTTTTTTGCATCTCAATTTCCTTCATTTCAGCTCTGATTTTGGTTATTTATTTTATTCTGCTAGCTTTGGGGTTGGTTTGCCCTCGTTTCTCTAGTTCCTCTACATGTGATGTTCAGTTGTTAATTTGAGATCTTTCTAACTTTTTGATTGGGCATTTTGCACCATAAGCTTCCCTCTTAACATTGGTTTAGCTGAGTTCCAGATATTCTGGTATTTTGTACCTTTGTTCTCATTAATTTCAAAGTATTGCTTGATTTCTGCTTTAATTTGATTGTTTACCAAAAAGTCATTCAGGAGCAGTTTGTTCAATTTTCATGTAATAATATGGATTTGGACAATTTTCTTAGTATTGATTTCTATACTAATTATGTTGTGGTTCAAGAATATGCTTGGTAAGATTTCAGGTTTGTTTTTTTTTTAATTTGCTGAGGATTGTTCTATGTCCAATTATGTGGCTGATTTTAGAGTATGTGCCATGTGCAAATGAGAAGAATGTATATTCTGTTGTTCGTGGGTGGAGAGTTCTGTAGGTATCTCTTAGGCCCATATGGTCAGTGTTGAGTTCAGGTCCTGAAAAATCTTTTGTTAGTTTTCTGCCTTAATGATGTGTCTAATATTGTCAGTTGGGTGTTAATGTCTCCCACTATTATTTTGTGGTTATCTAAGTCTCTTCATAGGTTTCTAATAACTTGTTTAATGAATCTGCATGTGCTCCTGTGTTGGGAGCATATTTAGGATAGTTAGGTCTTCTTATTCCCATTACATAATGTCCTTCTTTGTCTTTTTTGGTCTTTGTTTGTTTAAAGTGTTTTGTCTGAAATTAGAAGAGCAACCTCTGATTTTTGGTTTTCCATTTGCTTGGTAGATTTTTCTCCATCCCTTTACTTTGAGTCTATGGGTGTCATTGCAGGTGGGAAAGGTCTCTTGAAGACACTGTGTCATTGAGTTTTGCTTCTTTATCCAACTTCCCACTCCATGCCTTTTAACGGGGGCATTTAGCCCATTTACATTCAAGTTTAATATTGATATGTGTGGATTTAATCCTCTCGTTTTGCTGTTAACTGGTTATTTTGTGGACTTGCTTGTGCAGTTGCTTAGTAGTGTCAATGGTCTGTGTACCTAAGTGTGATTTTGTAGTGGATGGTAATGGTCTATCTTTTCCACATTTAGCACTCTCTTCAGGACCTCTTATAAGGCAGGCCTGGTGGTAATAAATTCCCTTAGCATTTGCTTGTCTGAAAAAGATCTTAATTCTCCTTCACTTATGAAGCTTAGTTTGGCTGGGTATAAAATTATTCATTGGAATTTCTTTTCTTTAAGAGTGCTGAATATAGGCCCCCAATATCTTCTGGCTTGTAGGTTTTCTGCTGAAAGGTCCACTGTTAGCCTGATGAGATTCCCTTTGTAGGTGACCTGCCCCTTCTCTCTAGTTGCCTTGAAAGTCTTTCCTTTCATTTTGACCTCTGAGAATTGGGTGATTATGTGTCTTGGGGATGGTTACTTAGTCTAACAAAAATAAAGAAAAAGATTAGGCTGGGCATGGTGGCTCACACCTGTAATTTCAGCACTTTGGGAGGATGAGGCAAGAGGATCACCTGAACCTAGGGGTTCAAGACCAGCCTGGGTGGGGCACGGTGGCTCACGCCTGTAATCCCAGCACTTTGGGAGGCAGAGCAGGCAGATCATGAGGTCAAAGGATAGGGACCATCCTGGCCAACATGGTGAAACCCTATCTCTACTAAAAATATAAAATTAGCCGGGCGTGGTGGCACACACCTGTAGTCCCTGCTACTCAGGAGGCTGAGGCAGGAGAATCTCTTCAGCCTGAGAGGTGGAGGTTGCAGTGAGCTGAGATTGCACCACTGCACTCCAGCCTGGTGACGGAGTAAGACTCCGTCTCAAAAAATAAATAAATAAAAATAAAAATAAATAAATAAAAGACTAGTCTGGGCAAGATGGTGAGACCTCACCTCAACAACAACAAAAAATTAGCCAGGCATGGTGTTGTGCACCTGTAGTTCCAGCTATCAATGAATCCCCTGGTTCAGGACCACGGAATATCATACTCGTTGAAAATGAGAAATCATTCCCCATTTACCTGAAGACAACCTAAAGCTCTTTGATTTTAGTATGTCTCTCAGAACTAGCTCGATTGATGACCAAGATGAATTTTCCCACTAAACTGCTGAGAAGTGAAATCAGAGTTAGGGTAAACTTCATTCAAATAACATTGACAAGTTTTCAGACTTTGAGACACAGGGCTAATTGCCTAATGTTGGTGAGTTAGAGCAAGCTGCTGCTTCTTCTACTTTTTTTTTTTTTTTTAATGTAGAGAACAAAATTCAAAATCCCCATGATACTATAGTCATTCATCTTTCCTCTAGAGTAAGGGCTATAGACTACAAGGTTCTTCTAGATTTCTGCTACTACTGCTGTGTTCATAGCTAGTTCAGTGCCTTCTAACAATGCCTTCTGCACAGGACTGCTGAGGGACTAAGTGGCAAACTGTGCCTGACCCATGGTTAACATTCAATAAATGGGGCACACTACCATTTGCCCTCATAACGTTGAAAGAAGTAATGCTTATTTCTCATAATGGTTAATGCTAAAGTACATCCAAATGTTTATTTATGACAAGTGTTTTAGGAGCCAAAATATGTTTCTCAGGAAAAGTTGTCAGTATATTTGGGTCTCGATTATCTTACTAAAGTTTGCTAAAGGCTTTCTCCTAGTCTACTTCACTGGCGGGTGGCGAGCAGTCTGGAACAAGTATAATTTAAACAGAAGAATAAACAATTAAATCTATTTCAAAGTGAGTTAGAAGCTGCGTGTAATAGGCTCTCCACTTTCTAGAGTAATTTCTGTTACCAGGATAGGTGTTATAATCTAGAAATTCTGTGGATATTCAACCCTAGAGTGCTAGTAGAGTATAGCTGATGTATGGAGAGGAATCTAAGTTATATTATTCAAATATAATGTTTGGGAGACAAGAATTTTTGACCCATATGTATTTACACTAACTAAATGCAAACTATAGTCCAACAGCAATGGTATTTTGATTCTCTGAGTTAGAAGGTAATTGATGGGAATGAGGGAGAAATTTACTGTAGAAATGATGCTTTCTGAGAAATATCTTATGTGTTACGGAATCCGTAGCATAACCTTCCTTAAACATATTACCATAGGACCCTTATAATTTCTGATGACACTGATGATATTACTTAACTTGTTGAATGGGTCAATTGATGTAAGTTAAGTGTTTAGGACAGTAACTGACATATGTTGAATAAATATTAGTTTCTGCTTAAAATCTGGATCAAAATCTTTCTCCAAAAATTTTCTGACCCTAAATGTAGCTCATTTGCTACACTTAACAGGATGTTAAAGGATTTTGCCTTATGTTTTTTCCGAATATGAACTTTCTGATAAAAGGATTAAAGTTCTTCATGTGTTACGTGTTTGACATAGCCTTTTTTTTCTTTTTCTTTTTTTTTTTTGAGATGGAGTCTTGCGCTGTTGCCCAGACTTGAGTGCAGTGGCACAATCTTGGCTCACTGCAACCTCCGCCTCCGGGATTCAAATGATTCTCCTGGCGCAACCTCCTGAGTAGCTGGGATTATAAGCACCTGCCACCACACCCAGCTAATTTATTTATTTATTTAATTTTTTATTATTTTTTATTTTTTTGAGACTGAGTCACCCTCTGTCTCCAGGCTGGAGTGCAGTGGCACCATTTTGGCTCACTGCAACGTCCACCTCCTGGGTTCAAGCAATTCTCCTGCCTCAGCCTCCTGAGTGGCTGGGACTACAAGCGCCCACCACCACACCCAGCTGTTTGTGGATTTTTAGTAGAAACGGGGTTTCACCATGTTGGCCAGAATGGTCTCAATTTCCTGACCCCGCGATCTGCCCACCTCGGCCTCTCAAAGTGCTGGGACTATAGGCGTGAGCCACTGAGCCTGGCCTATGCCCAGCTAATTTTTGTATTTTTAGTAGAGATGGGGTTTCACCATGTTGGCCAGGCTGGTCTCAAACTCCTGACCTTGTGATCTACCCACCTCGACCTCTCAAAGTGCTGGGACGCAGGCGTGAGCCACTGTATCCAGACATGTTTGATATAGTCTTGAAAATATTTTTCTTTAGTAGAAGAAACCTAAGCTACTAAATTTTAAAATTTATAGATCTGATCTTATAGTCCCATCTCAGTGAGCCTCACATCCAAGAAATTTCCAGTTTTTAAAAAAAGATTACACAATTTGTTTTCCTTTAATTTGAAGGTTAAGTCATGTTCTGTTTAGGAACAAAAATATGAAAACACAAAAAGTTTAAGTGTGATCTATTTATTATTGCTGCCATTTGTGGATACATTCTCTCAATTCTCCTTAAATCCCAATGATGCTTTTATACTTGCAACATGTGTATCCACCTCTAGCTTCCCTGTGCAGAAATGTCTGGCATTGGACTGTGAGGTATCTCTCAGGAAACAGAGTGGTAATGGGTAGGATGAAACCTACCCATTGAGAGCTCATGATATTCATTGTGAAATACCACAAGATATAGTCCTTCATTATATTTAGAGAGCTTGAATTTTCTGATTTTATGTAGAACAGAAAAAGAAACACAAATCACACAAAATTTAAGTGCGATCAAAAATAAAAATATATGTTAAATAAAGTTACGGTAGAAATTTTGCAAAGCCTTCAGGTGAGCCACAAATAATCTTAGAAATTATTTTAATAAAGTCATTTAGGTTCTTTTTCTTCATTTTCCTTAAAGTCACCTCTAAAGGTATTTCTCGGTTTACATCATATGTAATCAGCTTTTAGCTAAAGAACAAGTGGTAGTAAATGAAGACTGCCAAAGCCTCAAAGGTGATATTGGAGAAATGGGGATAATTAGAAAAAACAAAAGTTCAAACATTAAAATTCTGACACTATTAGATGAATCAACCTAAACTTGGTAAATCAGTTTTCGGAAAACTAGGCACTTATTGTGCTTTCATTTTATATCCAATAACTGCATCAAACTTAATATTGATTTTTCTTTTTAAAACTGCCAGGAAGCGCTCCGGAAGGATCCTAAAAGAAAAATATATGAAAATAATTAGAAAATTAATATTAAGTGCATTTGTAGAATACCCTCTTTAGAAATACTTTGAAGTTATCATGTATCATCGTGTTCATCTTAAATAAGATTAAGCACCTTAAATCTGAGTCACTACTATATATTCTTTCTCATTAAATCTCTTTCGTTTTCAAATGGAAAAGAAGGCTTAGCCTTCTTTAGAGTAGAAGAACCTGAAGTAGTCAGTTTTTGAAACAAAAGATCTAAGAGAGGAGGTATACGAACTGAATAGTTGAGATACTAAAGACTTTACAAAAAGAAACCCGACATTAAAAAGGAAATGAGAATAGGAACTAATTTTATACTTTATAATGCAGAATATTATTAAAATGTTCCACTAAGAGACTGGGGAAGTAGAACTGCTAAATAAAAATGCAGACAATGCATTTGGTTTTGAGCATAATGCTCAACCAATTATTTAACCTTTTAGTTTAAATTCCTCACGTGTAAATGGAAAAATTAACACTTATCCCTCAGTGTTCTTTTGTGGAATCAATGTGTTACTATATTAAATAAAATGTCTTGGCCGGGAGCCGTGGCTCACACCTGTAATCCCAGCACTTTGGGAGGCCGAGGCGGGCGGATCACCAGGTCAGGAGATGGAGATCATCCTGGCTAACATGGTGAAACTCCGTCTCTACTAAAAATACAAAAAATTAGCCAGGCATGGTGGCAGGTACCTGTAGTCCCAGCTACTCGGGAGACTAAGGCAGGATAATTGCTTGAACCTGAGAGGAGGAGGTTGCAGTGAGTCGAGATCGAGCCACTGCACTACAGCCTAGGCAACAGAGTGAGACTCCATCTCCCACCCCCTCCGAAAAAAAAAAAAAAATGTCTTAAACAGCGACAGACACTAGTAGATCTCATCTTTTTTCTCCAGACACTACACTTAGAACATTTAGGGACTTGTCACATTCCAGTGGGTCTGGGAGAAAACAACACAGAATATATAAATCAACATAGTAATAGTTTGGAAATATGACACCAATGTGACCTCATAACAAGAATTAGGGCAATGATAATAACAATAGTAGTTATAATAACAGTGGCATATAACATTTATTGAGTACTTACAGTGTACTGAGTACTTTTTATTTTATTTTTTTGAGATAGGGTCTTGGCTTGCTTTTCTGTTGCTCAAGAGGGAGTGCAGTGGCACGAGCATGGTTCACTGCAGCCTCGACTTCCTGGGCTCAAGAAATTCTCCCACTTCAGCCTCCCGAGTAGCTGGTACTACAGGTATGTTCCAACATGCCTGGCTAATGTTTTTGATTTCTAGTAGAGACAAGGTCTTATTATGTTTCCCAGGCTTGTCTTGAACTCCTGACCTCAAGCGATCCTCCTGCCTCAGCCTCTCAAAGTGCTGGGATTATAGGCATGAGCCACTGCACCCAGCCCTGAGTACTTTAAGAGCATTATTTTATTTATTCATCTCAGCCCTATACAGTCCAATTGTTTTCTCTATGTTACAGATAAAGAAACTGAACTTCAGATAAGTTAAAAATAACTCATCCATGTTCATGTTGCAAGCAAGTCACACAAACACATTCAACTCCAGAGCTTCATTCAACTCCAGAGCACACACTTTGAGTCTTTATGTTTAAAGGTCTAGAAACTAGAATTAATTTATTCAATCAACAAACATTTTGTTGTCAGGCACTCTTCAAAATGCAGAGCACACAGTGATGAAAAATAGGCGAAATGCCTTCTTTCACAGGGTTATATTCTAAAGCGCTGTGATCACTGAGTGCATACTTATGTAATGTGACAAGTACAATGCCAGAAACATCATAGGTTTTAACCTGGTTACTCACCAAAGAGATCCTTGAGCTTTACTACCTAAACCTCCAAGGCATGTTCACCATAGTTTTTGGCAGAAGGGGTAAGAAAGCTTAACATATGTCACGCTTTTCATCTCTTGAGTTTTTTGCTCTTTGCATCAATAATTCTCAAAATATAATCTCTGGACCACTGTCTGTGGCAGCTGCCTATTAAAATACAGATTTCTGGTCCAACTCAAACATCCATGTTAAAATCTTTAGAAGTGAGATCCAGGGATCTATTTTTAAATAGACTTCCCAAGTGATCATGATATCCCACTGATTTGGAGAAGCCCAGTCTAGGACAAGCAGCAAGAGGCTTTTTCTCCCAGCTGTCCTAAGGCACCTCTCTCCTTTCCCCTCCTATGTGGCCAGCCTCATTGCCACACAGTTTTCCCAGATGAGGAATGAAGCAGTGTGCTATGATGAGACATTCGTGAAACCAGTGGTTTCCAATCTTGGCTGGATAACTGAATCACCTAGAAAGTTGTTTTATCTCTCAAAGCCTAGGCCACACTCCAAACCAAGTCAATCAGAATTTAGGGGAGTTGGTCTCAGGCACCGGCATTTCTTAAACCTCCCAGGTGAATTCCAGTGTGCACCAAAGTTGAGAGTTACTGCTCCAAAGAGGTGCTGCTCAAATTTTAATATGCATACAAATCATCTAGGAGAACTTATTGATTCTGATTCAAATTCTGATTCAAGAGATGAGGAGAGTCTATATTTCTAACAAATTTCCAGGTAATACTGATGCTGCTAGTCCAAGAACCACATTGAAAGAAGCAAGGCTCAAGGATTTCTAATATTATAAAAAAAAAAAAAATAGCAATTCATATACGTCAGTATGATTTTGCACAAAACAAAAGCTCAATGATTATCTGTTGTATCTTTAAATAAATATGTAAAACCTAAATCTGGTCTCCTTTAGTATCATTGTTCTATGATTCCATTATGTAAAGATGTTTAAAAACTGTCCTTCTTCAGAGTCATTCATTTATAAGACAAGACTTACAGAAATACACAAATTTCTTTCTTTACAAAAAGTAAAAATGCGTGGAAATTACTCAGTTCATTCACCCAGGAGCTGTATCAGTCTTGCCTCAATGATTAACACACGTGGTTTAAAAAAACTGATGACATCTTTATTCAGCCTGTTATTTTTATTAAGTCAATTCCACTTAACTGTACTTTATCAACTGCCTGATTTTAAATGTCAGCAAAAAATGTAATAGATAATTTTTACTTTACCTTTCATTTCTAAGGCTGAAAAACGTAACTGTCACTTACCTTTCCAATGTTGTTAAGAAAGCTACAGAAGATGGAATAAAAATCATTTTCTGCTCAGTCAGAATCCCATTCATCAGCCTGTTTACTACTTCCTCAGGTTCCAGAGCGGGTCCTAAACTGAAATCAGAGGCAGTCTTCAGAAACAGAATACTTCACCAAAGCTTCAGCTTTAGTTTGGTGCTAAAAAACAGCTTTAGTACGGCACAGACACCATAACATAACTGATTTGTAGTGTCTAGCCTGGTATAGGTGCTCAGAAATAGCAGCTACTTTACCACTGATAATAACAATCATTCACTTAGTGCTTATGGTTTACCACAAACTGTGCTAAACTTTCTACATAGGTCATTCCATTGAAGTTTGACAATAACCTTACGAAGGTAATATTATAATTCCTATTCTATGTGGGGAAAAGAAAGAGAGATCAGACTGCTACTGGGTCTATATAGAAAGAAGTAGACATAAGAGACTCCATTTTGTTCTGTATTTGAGACGCTGTTAATCTGTAACCCTACTCCCAACCCTGACCTTGCAAGAGACATGGCTGTGGTGACTCAAGGTTTAAAGGATTTGGGGCTGTGCAGGGTGTGCTTTGTTAAACAAGTGCCTGATGGCAGCTTGCTGGTTAAAAGTCATCACCATTCTCTTAATCTCAAGCACCCAGGAACACATACACGGTGGAAGGTCCCAGGGACCTCTGCCAAGGAAAGCTAGGTATTGTCCAAGGTTTCTCCCCATGTGATGGTCTGAAATATGGCCTCGTGGGAAGGGAAAGACCTGATTGTCCCCCAGCCTGACACCCGTGAAGGGTCTGTGCTGAGGAGGACTAGTACAAGAGGAAAGAAGGCCTCTTGGCAGTTGAGACAGAGAAAAGCATCTGTCTCCTGCCCGTCCCTGGGCAATGGAACATCTCGGTGTAAAACCTGATTGTATGTTCTATTTACAGAGAAAGGAGAAAACCGCCCTAGGGCTGAAGGTGGGACTTGCTAGTGGCAATGCTGCTCTTTATGCACTAAAAAAGTTTATGGATATGTTTGCATATGCATATCAAGGCACAGCACTTTTCCTTAAACTTATTCATGTCACAGAGATCTTTATTCATATGTCTTACTGCTGACCTTCTCCCTACTGTGATCTTATTATCCTGCCACTTCCTTTTTCTCAGATGGTAAAGATAATGATCAATAAATACTGAGGGAACTCAGAGACTGGTGCCGGCGTGGGTCCTCTGTATGCTGAGCACCGGTCCCCTGGGCCCGCTTTTTCTTTCTCTACACTTTGTCTCTGTGCCTCATTTCTTTTCTCAAGTCTCTTGTTTCACCTAATGAGAAACGCCCACAGGTGTGGAGGGGCAGGCCACCCCTTCATCTGGTGCCCAACGTGGGTGCTTTTCTCTAGGGTGAAGGTATGCTCGAGAGTGGTCATTGAGGAAAAGTCGACAAGAGACTCCTGAGTACGTCTACAGTCAGCCTAGTGGTAAGCTTGTGCACTCGGAAGAACCTAGGGTAACAACGGGGCAAACTAAAAGTAAATACACCTCTTATTGCAAAAAAAGGGGAGTTAAAGTCTCTACCAAAAATCTAATTATGCTATTTCAAACAACAGAACAATTTTGCCCATAGTTTCCAGAACAGGGAACTTGATATCTAAAAGACTGGGAAAAAATTGGCAAAGAATTAAAACAAGCAAATAGGGAAGGTAAAATCATCCCACTTACAGTATGGAATGATTGGGTCATTATTAAAATAGCTTTAGAACCGTTTCAAACAGAAGAAGATAGCATTTCAGTTTCTTTTTTTTTTTTTTTGAGACGGAGTCTTGCTCTGTCTCCCAGGCTGGAGTGCAGTGGCCTGATCTCAGCTCACTGCAAGCTCCGCCTCCCTGGTCCACGCCATTCTCCTGCCTCAGCCTCCTGAGAAGCTGGGACTACAGGCGCCCGCCACCTCGCCCGGCTAATTTTTTTTGTATTTTTTAGTAGAGACGGGGTTTCACCGTGTTAGCCAGGATGGTGTCGATCTCCTGACCTCGTGATCCACTCATCTCGGCCTCCCAAAGTGCTGGGATTACAGGCTTGAGCCACCACGCCTGGCCTGTTTCAGTTTCTTATGTCGCTGAAAGCTGTGCAGTAGATTGTGAAAAAGAGGCAGGGATAGAATCCCGGAAAAGAATGGAAAGTTCACATTGTAAATGTGTAGCAGAGCCGGTAATGGCTCGGTCAATGCAAAATGCTGACGATAATCAATTACAGGAGGTGATATATCCTGAAACGTTAAAATTAGAAGAAAAAGGTCCAGAATTAGCAGAGCCATCAGAGTCTAACCCACAATGGCCAACTCCTCTTACAGCATCTCAGATGCCTGTAACTTTACAACCTCAAATGCAGGTTAAACAAGTACAAACTCCAAAAGAAGATCAAATAGAAAAAGATAGAGTCTCTGTCATGGCAATGCCAATCCAAATACAGTGTCCACAATATCAGCCGATAGAAAGTAAGACCCAGCTGCCAGTAGCCTATCAATACTGGCCACCAGTTGAATTTCAGTATTGACTGCCCCCAGAAAATCCATATGGACAGCCAGGAATGTTTCCAGCGCCACAGGGCAGGGCGCTATAGCCTCAGCTACTCACCATGAGACTTAATCCTACAGCACCGCCTAGTGGACAGGGTAGTGCATTACATAAAATTATTGATGAGGCAAGAAAACAAGGAGATATTGAAGCATGGCAATTCCCAGTAATATTAGAATCAAGACCATCTGGAGCAGGGGCCCAAGAGGGAGAGCCTCCCGTAGCTGAAGCCAGATATGAGTCCTTTTCTATAAAAATGCTAAAAGAAATGAAAGAGGGAGTAAAACAGTGTGGACCCAACTCTCCTTATGTGAGAACATTATTAGATTCCATTGCTCATGGACACAGACTCATTCCTTATGATTGGGAGATTCTGGCAAAATCATCACTCTCACCCTCTCAATTTTTACAATTTAAGACTTAGTGGATTGATGGGGCACAAGAACAGGTCCGAAGACATAGGACTGCCAATCTTCCAATTAACATAGACGTAGATCAACTATTGGGAACAGGTCAAAATTGGAGCACTGCTAGTCAACAAGTAATAATGCAAAATGAGGCCATTGAGCAAATTAGGGCTATCTGCCTTAGGGCCTGGGAGAAAATCCAAGACCCAGGAACCGCCTGCCCCTCCTTTAATACAATAAGACAAGGCTCTAAAGAGCCCTATCCTGATTTTGTAGCAAGGCTTCAAGATGCTGCTCAAAAGTCAATTACTGATGAGAATGCCCGTAAGGTCATAGTGGAGTTAATGGCATATGAAAACGCCAATCCTGATTGCCAATCGGCCATTAAGCCATTAAAAGGAAGCGTCCGGCAGGATCAGATATACTCTCAGAGTACCTTAAAGCCTGTGATGGAATTGCAGGAGCTTTGCATAAAGCTAGGCCTATGGCTCAAGCAATCACAGGAGTTGCTTTAGGAGGACAAGTTAGAACATTTGGGGGAAAATGTTATAACTGTGGTCAAATCGGTCATTTAAAAAAGAATTGCCTAGTCTCAGATAAACAAAATGTAACTACTCAAGCTACTACAACAACAGATAAAGAGCCACCTGGCCTATGTCCAAGATGTAAAAAGGGAAAACATTGGGGTCATCAATGTCGTTCTAAATTTGATGAAAATGGGCAACCACTGTCGGAAACGAGAGGAGGGGCCAGCCTCAGGCCCTGCAACAAACTGGGGCATTCCCAATTCAGCCCTTTGTTCCTCAGGGTTTTCAGGAACAACCACCCCCACTGTCACCAGTGCCTCAGGGAATAAGCCAGTTATCACAATACAGCAATTATCCCCCACCACAAGCGGCAGTGCAGCAGTAGATTTATGCACCATACAAGCAGTCTCTCTGCTTCCAGGGGAGCCTCCACGAAAAATCCCCACAGGGGTATACGGTCCATTGCCTGAGGGGACTGTAGGACTAATCTTAGGAAGATCAAGTTTAAATCTAAAGGGAGTTCAAATTCATACTGGTGTGGCTGATTCAGACTATAAAGGTGAAATTCAATTGGTTATTAGTTCCTCAATTCCTTGGAGTGCCAGTCCAGGAGACAGGATTGCTCAATTATTACTCCTGCCTTATGTTAGAGTTGGAAACAGTGAAATAAAAAGAACAGCAGGGTTTGGAAGCACTGATCCGGCAGGAAAGGCTGCATATTGGGCAAGTCAGGTCTCTGAAAGCAGACCTGTCTGTAAGGCCATTATTCAAGGAAAACAGTTTGAAGGGTTGGTAGACACTGGAGCAGATGTCTCTGTCATTGCTTTAAATCAGTGGTGAAAAAATTGGCCTAAACAAAAGGCTGTTACAAGACTTGTTGATGTAGGCACAGCTTCAGAAGTGTATCAAAGTACTATGATTTTACATTGTTTAGGGCCAGATAATCAAGAAAGTACTGTTCAGCCAATGATTACTTCTATTCCTGTTAATCTATGGGGTCGAGATTTATTACAACAATGAGGTTGGCCGGGCGTGGTGGCTCACGCCTGTAATCCCAGCACTTTGGGAGGCCGAGGCGGGCGGATCACAAGGTCAGGAGATCGAGACCATGGTGAAACCCCGTCTCTACAAAAAATAGAAAAAATTAGCCGGGCGCGGTGGCGGGTGCCTGTAGTCCCAGCTACTCAGGAGGCTGAGGCAGGAGAATGGCGTGAACCCGGGAGGCGGAGCTTGCAGTGAGCCGAGATCGCGCCACTGCACTCCAGACTGGGCGACAGAGTGAGACTCCGTCTCAAAAAAACAAACAAACAAACAAAAAAAAACCAATGAGGTGCAGAAATCATTATGCCAGCTCCATTATACAGCCCCACAAGTCAAAAAATCATGACTAAGATGGGATATATACCAGGAAAGGGATTGGGAAAAAATGAAAATGGCATTAAAGTCCCAATTGAGACTGAGGAAAATCAAGAAAGAAAAGGAATAGGGTATCCTTTTTAGGGGTGGCCGCTATAGAGCCTCCTAAACCCATTCCATTAACCTGGAAAACAGAAAAACAAGTATGGGTAAATCAGTGGCCGCTACCAAAACAAAAACTGGAGGCTTTACATTTATT